CAGTCCTCCATAATAAAATGAAAGTGAATGACAGCTAAACATAAACAAAAGCATTTTTAGATAGCATTTCACTGTGTGAAGCTTTATGTTGAAGATTGTTTGGTTAATCCTCACAACAGATTTATGCTTATTGCCCCATTTTATAGAAAAGGAAATTGAAGCTTAGAGAGTCCAAGAGTCTAGGTAAATGAAAGCACAAATGAAATAGTCTTAGCCACAGCAAGCATATGTTCCTAACCATGTAGCCATCAGAGATGTTTAACTGAGATAAAGTGAATGGCGTGGGGAAGAAATACAAATATAGCAGTGACTGTAAGGGAGCAGGCATTTAGGCTGGTGGATGTAAAGCCTACACTTCACGTTGGATCATCTGGATTTAATTCTCGGCTCTGGCTCCTGATTCCAGCTTCTTGCCAATGCAGAAATGGGAGACAGCTATTATGGCTCAAGTTATTGTGTTCCTGCCAACCATGTGGGAGACTTGAATTGATTTCTCAACTCCCAGACTCAGCCCTGGTCCAGCCCTAGCAGTTGCAGGCATTTAGGGAGTGAATCAGCAGGTAGGGGTGCCCTGCTTCTCTCTTTCTTAAATAAATTAATCAAATAAAACATTTAAAATGCACATTTAAAACTCCATCACTATAACAAATGTGCTGTTTTCAAGGCTTTCCCTACTCTCCAATCCTTGTGCATTTCACACATGAACTTTTCATCATCTCAGTGAGGAAAGAGATACTGCATCATAATGTGCATTTGCTCTGCTCCTGAGCACTCATGATTTCCACTTTGCAGCTGGGAAACACTCCATCAGGCTGTCCCCATTCTCCCCTCATTATTCCCCTCTGTTGAACATTTAAGATTTTCTTGAATTTGTATTATTGGAAGCAATAGCAAGAGAGTACTTTTGAAGAAAGTAATCTCCTTTTGAATAGATTCCTTAGTTGAAAGTTTGAGAAACAGAATTACTGGATAAAAATATTTTCTTTGGCAGGTCAGCCGTTATGTCTCTATTAATCTTCCATGGCTCTTCTTCACCCCTAGCATAGGAGCTAATTTTAAGCAACAGCTTTGGCATGTACTTCATGCCTGTTTCTGATAAATAGTGATTTATGTAGAAGGTAGGTATAATTGGAGGAATTATTTATGACTGCAGAATACAAAACTTAAAATTTTCTATATATTTCTCAATCATCAATGCCTTAGGCAGCATTTTTCCCTGGAAAAGCATTGGTATGTCCAAAAATATTTATTCCGTGGCCCCTGTACTCCCTTGCCATTGGATTTTTGCTAATGTAGCAGGTGAGAGCCATCGACCAGAGCAATGATGAAGAGGAGTCCAACTGGCAGAGGAAGCACCAAGGAGTCAGTCTGCTCAAGAGGTAATAAAGAAAATGATAATTTTTAGAAAAAAAATTGCAACACAGTAGATCTACATGTGGACTTTCCATTTGGAAGACTTAATATAGGGTTTTAGGATTTATTTTGTTGAATTTTCTATGGAAGATTTTGCTTCATCCCAGTGAGAAGAGTATGTGACATCCTTCATGCTATTTTATCACCAGCATTAAAAGGGAGAATAATTGAAACATGTGTGCTAGGGTTGTAGGAAGTCCTAAGGATCTATATCATGTTCGTCATCTGGCTCCTGCACAGTTAGAAATGTTCTACATGGGGCCGGCGCTACGGCTCACTTGGCTAATCCTCTGACTGTGGCACAGGCACCGGGTTCTAGTCCTGGTCGGGGTGCCGGATTCTGCCGGGTTGCTCCTCTTCCAGTCCAGATCTCTGCTGTGGCCTGGGAAGACAGTGGAGGGTGGCCCAAGTGCTTGGGCACTGCACCTGCATGGGAAACCGGGAGGAAGCACCTGGCTCCTGGCTTCAGATTGCTGCTGTGAGCCAGCCGCAGCGCGCCAGCCATAGCAGCAGTTTGGGAGGTGAACCAACGGAAGAAAGACCTTTCTCTCTGTCTTTCTCTCTCACTGTCTAACTCTGCCTGTCAAAAAAAAAAAAAAAAAAAAAAGAAAGAAAGAAAGAAAGAAAAAAAAAGAAATGTTCTACATGGATCCCAACTGAAGCGGAAGCGAAAGAGTTGAAATTGTGCTTCCCAGTGACTTTCCTTCAATCTAATCTTGATGCTTACAAGCATATTCTTATAATAAGAAAATGGCAATAAAACACACCTCTGCTTAGAAAATACAACTGTGGATTCCTTTTAGTTGTCATGCTTGTGACTAGCCTCTGTAGACCTACAAATACAAAAAGGAAAGCCATTTCCTTTTGTGTATTAGGTATTTAGGCTAATACTTCATACCTTCAGCATGGAAATCAAAATGTAGGGTTGACTGAACACTAGTAATGTCTACTTGCAGCCAAAATGCAAATTCTAGGTTGATTTCTCCCTAAATCCTTGTATATAGCTGAAGACTTATCCTGTATCTGCTTCTCTCTTGAAACATTTTTGCTTGCTTCCTCATAATCCATCCTCTAATGGCTCAAGTGCTTGGGCCCTGCACCCGCATGGGAGACCAAGAGGAAGAGCCTGGCACCTGGCTTTGGATTGGTGCAGTGCACTGGCTGTAGCAGCCATTTAGAGGGTGAACCAACAGAAGGAAGACCTTTCTCTCTACTATCTCTCTCTCTCACTGTCTAACTCTGCTTGACAAAAAAAAAAAACAAATGAAACAAAAAAGATGTCCATCCTCTAACTGATTTTCTGAGTTTTTTTGTTGGTTTGTTGGTTGCTTGGTTTACTCATTCACATAAAGTGGTTCCTGCCATTTCTATTCTTTGGCACCTGTAGTTGGTCATTGCTACTGTTTTGAATATCTTTTGCACCGCCCACCACCACCAAAGAATGGACACATGTGCTATATGGATCAGTGCTTCCTCTTGACTATTCAACAAAAGCCTCCCTGAGAGGTTGCTAAGCAAACAGACATCAACAAGAGAAGAGTGGCCCATTCTCCAGAGAGCCTGACGGAAGTCATACTCCCAAGTCAGGAAAAGAAAAGGGGGACAGGGACTTGGGGGACTTGGAGAAAGGTGCAGCCTTCGAGTCCCGACAGGAAGCACTGACATATGGAAATTGAATCAAAGGGGATCATTAAGTTGTCCTATTGTTTGAGCAACAAAATCCCAGATCTTAAGTAATGTGATACTTTGACCCCAATTTGAGTGAAATCAAAAGTAATAGGTGATGGCAATAGTGGTGAATAAAAAACACTGTGGAATGAATGCAAATTCATGGCATAGTAAAAATGAAGGGGGGATTGACTTTTATTTTAACTGAGGGGTACAGACAAACCCTTCACCCAAGAGTCATGCCTTGAGTTTTGGGAGATTTATTTCCATGAAGATTTTGAGTCCTCTCAGATCATGCAATCATTTTGACTAGAATAGAGATGAATGCAATTAAGGGCTGGAGAAGTCAAATTATATAGAATGAGAAGTGAGTAGAAAAAAATCTAGGGAACTTGTTGATCATGACATGGACAGTAATAATAGCTATTCTACAGTAGAGCTTCAAGGAATCAGAGGTGTGGGTTTAACATCTCTAGATACTGCTGCAAAGGGAATCCTTTGAGAGGGGCAGTAGATGGAAACCTGTAAGCAGTGAGAGTCAGGGAACACAGCCCAGGCTCCAGCAGTGCCCTTCCCAGAGGCAAGGTTTCCTAAAAATTAATGGAAGGAGGTTTTCTCCATGCCCTGACATCACTCAGATCAGTCTCTATTTCTTGGAACCTGAAGGTGTGCTGTGGTCCTGCCCCATACATGGCCAGTTACGCTTCCCTCAAATCAAAGATGCGCTCCAATTTTCAGAAACTTACAGTCCGGCCGTCCTGAAAGAGGAAAGAAGGCGGCAACAATGGTAAAGCAGAAGGTACGTTCAGATATGCGAGGTTGGAGAGACGCCTCAAGCTTGACTCTTGAAGCTCTGCATTCTCTGTTAAAAACAACAGCACACCGGAAGTCCAGGAGCTGCCCTGGAGAAACGGATCCTTTCGCTGGCATTTTGATCTCTCTGAGTTTTAGTTTCATTTTCAGTGATTTCTTGGGTGAGTAAAATACCATTTCACTCAAGAGTTAAAAGGGGTCAGTTTGGGTCCTGTCAGGGGGTGTTTGGATCTTTCTTTCTGACCTGGAATTAGTGTATGTGCGTCTGAGTGCCACTCAATCCGCCCCACGCACCATGAAATATGTTTTCCGCTACGATGAGATTGCTGGCAGCGCATAAAACAAATGGACTAGGTCAGAAACAGCCTGACTCCACCTTGAAATGTGCGTGTTTGTTACTTTGGAGAGTACTTCCAGAACTTCTTCCTTTAAGATGGTTCTTACCACCGCAGCTTCTGTCTGTAAATGCTACTTGTCGGCTCAGTCCATCCGTATCACAGCGTTTGGGATGAGTTCTACATCAGAGGCCCCAGTACACAGGTGAGAAAACTGAGACTCAAAGCCTGCATGCTTCTGCCCCCGTCACAGGCTGGCAGGTGGCTAAGCTGGGGTACCAGCCGTGTGTCTGGGCCCACAAGTCTTTGCTTTATACATTCTGCCACTCATGACATGTTTGACTAAAAACTGCCTCAGTTAGGGTTTGGGTCCAATTGCTCACAGGTACAAATCCAAGTGATTACAGCTTAGAGAAAACAGCCACTTATTTTCCTCCCAAATGATTATAAATTCAGAGCCACACAGTCCAGAACTGGTGGAAGAGAAATCCTGCTTTGTGCACTGATGAGGCATCTGAAGCTAGAGCACCTCCCAGCTATCATGGCTGCAACCTAGATTGTGCACAGGGGGAGATGCGGGACTCACCTCAGGGGAGTGAAGTGTTTTCCAGAAATTACCAGAAACATGTTTCAAGTGGTCAATTCTAGTCACCCAGCCTCCCTAGAAATAGCATTTTCAAAATGTATTGCTTTGGGTGGGGGGGAGAGGTAGAAAGCGGGGAAAAAAAAAAAAAAAAAAAAAACAGAAGAAGATGGAGGAGAGGGAGGAGAGGAAGGAAGAGGGACAGAGAGACAGGTGGAGACAGAAACAGAGAAAGACAAAGCTCACATTTGCTGACTCACTGCTCCAAGTGCCCACAACAGCCAGAATTGAACGAGGATAAAACCAGAGACTCAGAACTCTATCCAGGTCTCCTCACACAGGAGCAGGAGCCCAGTTCCCGGATCCTTACTGCTGCCTCCCAGAGCCTGCTTTAGCAGGAAGCTGGAATCCAGAGCCAGACCTGGCAGTGGAACCTGGACACTCTGACTTTGGATGTGGATGTCTTCACTGGCATCTTAACTGCCGGCCAACACCTGAGTCATGTAGTTTTCATCTGATGATGCTGTGCCCCCAACAAAATGGAAAATCATTCAGAAAGAAGGAAAGGAGAAATGGAGTTTGCATCAACAGCAGAGGTATCTGTCTCCACAAACACCTACATCTCCCTTTCAAAAAAAAAAAAAATCAAATGTTTCCTTAGGAGCATTTTTGTTCCAGTGTGTATCCCTCTCGGAGTACAGCATGACACATGCTGACTGCCCTCAGCCCTGTTGGCTGACGTGACCCAGCTATGTGAGCACGGTCCTGTCCACTGGATGAACTCACCATTTAGAGTTAGTGTTACATTCGAAGTGTTACATGTTCTAAAGATCTGGTGTTCTTCTAGTCTATCCAGAACCACATTGGGTAAAGTTACTAAAACAGTTTTCTAGGATGGGATGACAGTGACTGCATGTAAAGATCAACAATTTGTATGCAGAAAGGCCACCAAAAGGGACACTGTTTCAGGCATCCGATATTTGAGGCAATTACAGAATGTTTTGAAAGTTGGACACTGACTCTGTCACCTGAGACATTTGTCTCCTTGTGTGTTACTCGTCTCAACACTACTGATTCACACTATTCACCCTCCTGCTTGGCAGTGGAAATTAAATAACCTGTGATTCACCGTCTCAGCCTTGGAGAAGAGAAGTACAATGAAAGAAGTTTAAAATGTGTTTCTAATTTTCCTTGGCCACCTCTTCCTGTCTGCTAATCCCCTCTTCTAGGCCATAGGATTTTACAAGTGACTTGGTGTTGTCATGTCTTACCAGGCCCATGGAGACAATCAAAAGGGATTGCACTGAAATTGTCCCAGCCACACATCAGCTAATTCATTCCAGATTGGACACAAACAATCCAGAACTCGCACTCAGAAGAGGACGTCATTGCTAACACAGGGGCAAGGTGTGGTGGGACATTTAGGGGGTGACCCAACAGATGGAAGATCTCTCTCTCTCTCTTTCTCTCCCTATCTCTGCCTCTCTGTGTCACTCTGCCTTTCAAAAAAAAAAAAGGTACACTTTTTTTTTTTTTTAAATGGAGGCATTGAAAGAAGCTTACAAAAGGGGGAACAATGGCTGGGAGATGTTATGGTGATGAATATTTAATGAATATCAGATCTAATGCCTTTCTATAGCGTTGCCATTAATACAAAACATTAGCTCTCAGATATGAAAAGAATACACACACAAACACACACAAACACACACACCTTAACATAATCATAGGTGTATGCTGTGCCGGAAACCATAGTGCATAAAACCTGAAAATAAACATTGACAATGTTAGATGACAATACAAATGTTAATAAAAATAACACACCTTAGGGCCTGTGAGTGCATACCCATTCATTTCTACACTTCAATAGCACATTTTCTGGAGATTTTGCTGTTTTTCACTTTCTTGCTGCAGATGCCATGAGAATTGTGGGTTCTGTAGCTACTTGAAGAAATACAAGCAGAAAGAGGAATAAGAAAATTTTATCGTCCTCTGTTGTGAGAAGTTGAAGATCAATGTAACAGGTGAGTATGCATTTGCAGGTGGTTTGCCTATTCTCCATGGTTGTGTTCAAGATTTTCCTTTCTTTAGTGTTCTGAAGTTTTACTACACGTCCGGTGTAGCACTCATTCTGATTTATTGCGTTTCATTCTCATGCTCGCCAGTAGCACTCCTTTGTGAGATGCCAAAGCGTTGTTTTTTCCCTAACACTGCCCCTACTCCTGTCGCTGTCACTGTACTTCCTCAGGTCCTCACACTCTCCATCTCTTTTTTCACCCTGGATTTTAGACATGCATAATCCAATAAAGTCAATAATGCACATTTTGCTCATGTCAACTTGTTATTAACTCCATTGAATGCTATTTTTTATTCTAGGGATTAAATTTTACAATTGTAATTTTGCTTTGTACTTTCTGCCTACATTTTGCATACTAGCGGTGTTTGGTTGGTCTGCCATTTTATTCCTTACTTATATGTTTTGAAACTATGTTAACTATGTTTAAAATTTTAAGCACCATTGTTTATTTACTGGGGCCCCAAACCTTGTTTGTTGTGTTTCCTAACCTAAGTGGAGTTTTAGGTGGGGCTGCCATCATGGTGCAGAGGGTTAGTCCACTGTTTGCAGCATCCCACATTGGAGTGCCAGTTTGAGTCCCAGCTTCCCCGTTTCTGGTCCTGATCACTGCTAATGTGTGTGGGAAAGCAATAGAAGATGTACCAAGGGCTTGGTCCCCTGCCATCCATGTAGGAGACCTGGATGGAGCTCCTCATTCCTACCATCAGCCTGGACTGACTCCAATCATTGTGGCCATTTCAGCAATAAACCAGCAGATGAAAGATATTTCTCTCTATCTCTCTGAGCTGAGCTCTGGCATTTCAAATAAATAAATAAGCATTTAAATTTTTCATTCTGTTTGAAATGCAGAGAATGAGAGAGATTAAGGGAGCAGGGAGAGAGAGAGGGAGGAGAAAGATTTCCCATCCACTGGTTCATTCCTCGGATGACTGCCACAGCTAGCCCTGGGCTAGACTGGTGTCAGGAGCCAAAAATTTCACCCAGAATTCCCAGATAGTGGCAGGGACCCAAGTACTTGAGCCGTCACCTGCTGCCTCCGAGGAAGCACATTAGCAGGAAACTGGAATTAGGAGTGGAGCCAGAACTCAACCCCAGGCTCAAGTACAGGATTTAGGCATCCCAACTATCAGAGCAGAAAATGCCTGTCCCACTAGGAGAGTTTTGTTTATCTATTTTGTTATTGTTTTCAAATTGTGGACTCAATTTCAACAAGAATTATTTTATCCTCCTGTGGGATTTTATAACAAAGTCATTTTCAAGTTTTAGTTTCTCAGAAATGGAAGATGGAGACATAAGACTTAGTTGTTTCCTGAAAGGAAAAATAAGTAAAATTGGTCTAGATGATTTTTCTTTAGAGGTTGGTTGATGCCAGTCAATTCCGCTGTTCACCCTAATGGTAGAGCAATTACATGAAAATTGGAATTGGATTTTCTCGGTCCATTCACACTGCTATCACCAAATATTGTAGAATGTGTGGCTTCTGAAAGTCATACATTGATTCTTTACAGTTCTGGAGACTGGAAGCCAGGAACCCAAGACCAGCAGGTGCATTTCTGGTGAGCACTTACTTATCGGCTCATACCAGACCCTTATTGACTTGTTGTCACAACGCAGAAGCAGAACTGAGCTCCTGGAGACTCCTTTGTAGAAACACGAACCACACTCGCAAGATTTCTACTCTCAGGATCTAATCAGCTCCCCCAAGGCCTCACCTGCTAAAACCTTTATTTTCTGTGCTAGGATTTCAACATAGGAATTTGGGGAGGACACGAAAATTGAGAACATAGCAAAATCACTGCCCTCCCTGCTCAGCTAAGAGTAGGACAAAATATAAAGTCTTTTCATATCCAACCAAGGCTTCGTAGAGACTGGATAGAGCCCCACCACCTCATTTGTCTCTGTTGGGCACAGAATTAAGATATAATTCAAAATGTGTTGGCATCCTGGTAGATGCCCCCTATGAACTGATCTTCATCGATGGAATCACAATGAAGTGATAAGTCATGGCAACTCGAAGCATGAGGTCCTCCCGTGTGTTTCTCTCCACATCCCAGCTCCCATGAATATTTATGAAGGGCCAAAGTCTTCTATGCACCATCATAACCCCATTTCAGTGTGTCCAGTATGTAAGCTAGAGCACGTGGCTTCCCCATGTCCCTGAGGTGTGGGGGCTGTTTATTACTGTTTATTACTGCAGCATAGCCGTGCTGAACCTTACCTACTCACTGGGCCTGCAGGGCCTTCCATGACCTGCTTCTTGCCTACTCTCCCAAGCCCAGGGTACACCATTTCCACACTGGCATTCTAACCTCAACACACCAGCCTCCTCTGGTTCCTGATAAAGAAAGCTGTAGTGGCTGCTCTGGGACTTTCGCACGTGTTGTTCCCTGCCAGGCACTTTCTTCACATAGGCATTCCTTGACAACATCACACTCACCTTTCAGACTATTCACCATGGTATTCCTTGGGAGGCTGTCCCTTTTCCCCTATCCTTAGTTATACACTTCCATTGTTCATCTTGCTCAATATTTAATTATTATGTAGTTGTTTGTATAATACCTCTCTCCCCTCATGCCTGCATTCTCTAGATGTGCAAGGGAAGAACTGCTCATTCCTATTTGCATGACACAAGATAGGAGCCCAATATACACATTTGCTAATAATGAATGCTCTGCATAGTTTGAACTTTTGCACTTTTTACGACCCTAAATGAGGAACTTCTGTTGTGCATTGTTTTGTGAACTGTGATGTGAAAAGTATTATGGGAGTGGATAATCTGAGTAAGATAGTGTAGTAAGGACATTATCTTTACTAATTATATATAATAATGAAGCTGCATTATCCTGAAGACACGCCCAGAAGTGTTCTTTCAGCAGGTGATGGGTGATAATAATAGCTTTATTCATAGTGTTCCCTGAAAAGACAAAAACAATCACGCACACATATAATGCATAAATATGACTTCTACAAAGTATATTTCACTGTTGGGTATAGACATTATTTCCTCTCTCATGTCATGAGAAATTTGAGAACTGAGTTTTTAGAACAGCTTTTCTTCATGTTCCTAGAAATTATCAACATGATATCAATACGTTTGATGAAAAGCAAATGAATGGCTAAATGAATTCATTTCACCTGACTCACGTATGCTCATAGGTGGTGACCTCGACACAAATCAAGGATGAATGATGTGAACTGAAGTCCAAAACCTATTTTAGTTAAGAAAAGATTTATATTGTAGGCTCCTAGAAGAATAAATTGATCGAATAGGTAAAGAAGGAACAAGTTCCTGAGACTCTGAGTCAAGTCATAACAAACACAAATGCCGATGAAGTGACGACACAGTGCATGGCCTGTTTGATAGTCTCATTACTGCTCCGAGAGTTCCATGGCTGGATTTACGCTACAGCCATTCCAAGCCAAACACAGACATCTTGACAATTGGTTTCAGTTTTGAGTGTAATTATGTCCCTCATTTATACATGCAAGATAATTCTGTTTAATCAGAAAACCATTGCTTGCTCACAACACATGTAAAACCAATTTTTCTAATGCCAGATCAGTTACGTCTGCCAATATTGAAAAAGAATACTCAACGAGGCCCAGATGATGTGAACCTTAAGGACTGATCAGGAAAGTGACTCAACGTGGCTCCACTCTGGCTTTTGGTCCCTTGAAGACAAAAGAAACAGACATACAAGAAATGGTCATCAAAGAGTTAAATCCAATGTTTGAAATACAAGTTTAATTAGCACTGGAGGATTCAAATTGAAAACCTAAAGTGCCAAATTCCCAAGTGGTTCAGAGAAGTCTTCTTGTGTGTGTGTGTGTGTGTGTGTGTAATAGTGGCTTACAGGTTACTCCGCATACCCCATCTCTCCCTGAGAAGTTGAAACCTCACACCCATTTGACACCCTGGGGGTGAAACTGATGGGTGGGTCTCACTGTGAAGAGCTAGAATTACTTCTCATTGTCGGGCTTCATTCCTGTGCAGGCTGTGGGCACTGAAGACAGAGGCTCAGGAGCCAGGAAGGAATCTCGCACATGGAGCAGAAGAGTGGACAGAGGATGAGCTTGCTGTCAGCTCAAGAGTTCGGACCTCCCACTGCACTCTGGCCACTGCCCTGGTCCCTGGCCTGCCCCATTCTGGGGCTGGATGAGGACCCGTCTGCAGAATATCCAACATCCAAGTGACAGCCAGAACAGAGACTCGGGCTCCCCTTAGGGGCTCTGCTCTCAGCAGGATGATCGCTTCCCGGAGCCTCAAAAAAGCTGACCCACTCCAGCTTTTAATTCATTATTCATCAATTTTCTTAGTCCACCTAAGGAAAAAAAAAAGTGATAGGGTTGCTGCTCAAATAAGTGTTGCGTGGGGGGAGGAGCGGGGAGAGTGGCATTCTGGAAAAAAAGGACAACCCTGTCAAAACATGACAGCCGATCCAATGCCTGTTTTATACTATTCATAGAAAATGCCAAACTCTGCAAATAGTAACCACATGTACATTGGCTTCCCAGCCTCAACGTTCTGCAAAATGAGGCGTTCTTTATTTTAGTGTGTCATCAAAAGCAGTGAAAATATCATTCTAGCCTTCCAGGCTTAACCCTGTGGGCTCGCGATGGCTCGAGGTTTAGTATGAAGCAGCCCTCGCACGCCCAGATAACAGGAGCCGCAGCACCAGCCCACACAGCTCCGCTGCACAGAAAGGCGATTCGATTCACAAATCTGTTACCCGGACATTTTTATTCATAGCCACAAGATCATTACCGCCACAAGCCCACAGCTGACGTTTGTCATCTTGCTTGCTCTGCCAAAGTCGGGATGAGGGGGGTGGGGGGATGCATATAGCAGGCGGGAAAGGGCACGGATCAGGCAATCTTAAGACCTTTGCTGGTCCAGGCGCCCCTGGCTGGTGCCTTCCAGGTTTCTCCTGAATGCATCCAGACTGGCTTTTTAACTCCAATCTGCGGTGCCAATTGTCCTTTCTCTGTGCCTGGCTGCTATTCCCTTGCACTAACATTGACGAGAGCCAGTGCCCAGAACTGAACAGGGAATGAAGGTTTGTGCATAGCAGACGTTAAGTCAGCAGCAACCAGCTGGCGCGAAGGCTGGGCCCTGTGCTTGCCCAGGAGTGCTTCTAGTGCCTTCCACATGACCACTGGCTCTGAAGGGGCCTCCTGTTTATCTTCTGCTCCTTAACAAACAGTCTCTGCAGCGGCTGCAGTAAATCTCTTTCAGTCTGGAAGCTTCAGCCCTGGGGTGTTTGTCCTTTTTTTTTTTTCTCTCTCCCAGGGCTGGCTAGCTTCTGCCTCCTGGCTCTGCTTGTGCTCTGTCTTGGACAATTATTTCAAAATGTCTGTACTCGGCCTCTTGATGAAAAACAAGAGATCCCCTAAAGTGCGAGGAAACTTTTCTCTCTTTCCATCTAGACAGCCATGCATGGCAGGGCTGCGTGCGCTGGGGAATCGGCATCCGCCTGCTCTGTTTCCCACCCGAAGGGGAGATAATAAATGGCAGGGGCTTCAGCCTACAACCGTCAGGACACAGGGCCCAGCTTATCCTTTCTAGGGCAATAAATAAATGACGGAAGTTTTAGGCCCAGACTAGTGAATTGGTGGTTAAGCCTCAAGCTTTTATCTCTCTGACCCCTGTGTGAACTCAACCTTGGTTCCTAAGTGCAGGGCAGACAAAGTGGGGTGGGAGGAAGGTTCCTTATCGATGTGAACACCCCTTCCAGCCCAACAGAAAGAAATATGATGCCCTGTGTGTGCCTGTGACACGGGGGGCGGGGGGGGTGGGGTGGGAAGGATTTGTAGGAACCAAGTGAGAAGAGAGCTAAATACCAGCTATTATTTCTATGTGCCTGTCCCCTGGTTTGAGAGTTTCATGGAGAACCTATTAACTAATCCCACCGGCATTCATTGGGGGAGGAGTATGACATTTGTGGGCAAGGCTGTGTTCACACTGCGCAGATATGGGCTTAAAATAACAAACTGTTTAAAGATCTTGGAAATGAGGAATCCCAAAGGTGACACCAGCCCTGGTTAATACTTACTGAACCACAAATGTGCCAATTTCTGTGTTAAGGCACTTGGAATGCATTGCTTTATTTAATTCTCATAACAACCCTAGGAAGCAGGTCCAGTTTTTATTTGATTTTGTTTTAATTTAACAGATGAGGAAGCTGTGATTTGGAGAGGCTTTGTGACTCGTCTGAGTCTGTTTGCTTCGAGAATGCTGAAGTCAATATGAAAATCTCAGTCTGACTCCCTATCATATCATGTGTTTGAAGACAAGAGCTTGGAGCATGTGAGGTTCAGCAGTAGGAGAGATGAGGACCACATTCTTCAGGGAAATTTCATATGTTCTTCTGGCAATTCTGGACTCATTTGTGAGCTCAACGGGTTCTACTGTTTGACATTAAAATTGTATTTTCTCTATGTCCTTTTCTGAAACATGATACTGGCAATAATGCTCTCCAGTGCTCCTTGGTCCAGATGGCCTTCAAATGACTACAGGGACACCTGGCAGCTGTAAACCAGGCCCCTCAACAAGGTTACCAAAGCACCTTGTCATAGCACAGCTTCCAGTATTGCCAATGACATATGTGTTTTAGAGTGGTTCTATTTAATTAGGTAGTTGCACTGTTCTGAATAGGAACAGGGCAGCAGGGCAGGGAGTGGGCATTCAGGTTGTTTTATATTGGTTGTTATTGGTGGGTATCCCAGAAACGTTGGTCACGTGGGACAGAACACATGAGGAATGCCATCCATCTGTTTTGGGCTTAATACTGGGGAACAAGTAAGTATTTCAGGCATTTGTATGTGTGCTTTATTTTTGCCAAGTAAGGACTAGGCTAACTCCACTATGGGAGGACGTCATCTCATAATCCTCGAGAGTTTCTTAAAAGTCGATCCACATTCTCCATCAGGCACACACAGGGGTGGGCATTTGGTATAGTGGTTTAGAGCTCACCTAGAAGGCCTGCACCCCACATTGTAGTGCTTGGGTCAACTTGTGGCTCCACTCCCAATTCCAGTTGCTGCTAATGTACATTTGGATGTTAAACCTCTGTTCATCTGTCTTTGTCTCTTTACCCTATGCCTTTTTTAATAAATAAAATAAATAAGAATTTTACAAATTACAGACCTATAGGTTCAGGCTGTGGTGAGTAGCTATGTGAGTAAGAGCAATGTCATTCTCCTGGCCAGCTCATCGTGCCTCAAAGAATACCATCTAGAAAAGAAGATCCAAGTCTCAGAGTCTTGGGAAGGGGTTCAGATTGTCTAAGGGCAATGGCTGAGACCTTGGAACATGCCCAGGGGTGTCACTGCTCAATAGAAAAACCCAACCCCTGTGTGCGCCTTGTCCATTTCATCTGCACTTCCTCTGCTCCAGCTACATCACCCCTTGCCATGCTTCCCATTATAATGTCCTGGGTTGTGACTTTTTATATATCTTAACTGAAGGTTCCTGTCTAATTTTCTTCTAGAATATGGGTCAAGACCCGTGTCTTCCCAGTGCAGGAGTCATTTCATCGCTAGGAAGCAGCTACGATGGGAAGTACAACCATGTTATCAACTACGCTTCAGTTGAAAGCCTGAAGTCGCAGTTCTGTAACGTCCTGTTTTGTGTCCTTTGCCAAGTTTTCTAATGATATAAATACTCTACCCCCCCTTCTGACGAGGGCATGGGGAAATGGAAATTGCATATATAGCAGAAGGCATGGACAGGACTGCTTGTAGTGGATTCTCTTGAACTCGCCTCTTCACTATCTCTGTGCAGAGCTTACACAGACAATTTGTTTTGTTCTCCATGTCTTCCACAGTTGAGATACAAACCCTTTCTCTCCTATACCATTTAGTATAAAAATCAAGCATTAAATAAACACTTTTTGGATGAACAGATGCAAGAATTAACTGAGAAATCCCTGCATAGATACACGTACAGCTTTAAACAATGTGCTCACAGGTGACCTCCCCTGGAGACAGAGTGGAAGACTGAAGATCCTCTTGGGGACTTGTCTTCACATTTCAGCTACTTCCTGTAGTGATAATAGTATAATTAATTTGTGTGGAAACTTTCTTTTAAAAAGCTTTAGTGCGTAATTATGGGCAAAATAAATTTACGGGGAATTGAGCAGGGCCTAGAAGTTTGAAAGTATTTATCTTGAAGGTTTTTACTCCCCCCTTACCCTGGGCAGATATTAGTCATGTAGAACAGCTCTGGGTCAGGAAGCTGAGGATTTGAAGTGAGTTCGAAGCAGCTGACCCGTGTTGGAAACCCAAGCCCAAGCTGTGAGCGTCACCTAGACAAGCTCTGAGGACTTCATTCTGGTTCTTTTTCTGGACTCTAGAAGAACAGAGGTCATTGTCATTTATTATTGCCAAGACATAAATGTCTAATAAAAATAACTTGATTATGAGCATTTTTATTTCAAGATTTAAACAACATCCAGGCAGAGACTTTGAGATCCCTTACTCTGAGTGTACTCCCCGTTTTCCTGGCAGTGTATTTCCATGTTTCCTTGAAAAGTCACTCAAGAGTATTTTAAGTAACATTTTGAAACCTCCCCTCTGTTTTTAAGAAAAAATGAAAATCCTAAAGTTGTTGAGGATAAATGAGATTGGTTTCTGGCTCCTGTAAAAAATCGGGGATGATGTTTAACAACAGAAACCAAATGGGAGTGCTCAGTTTAAATTCCACCCAGCCATGTCAGCAGCCAAGATCCTGGGAAGTTCTTCATCGTACCAGGCAGGCAGCAGCAGGTTCAGCGACTGCATGGGGTTTTTGGAACCCATGGACAATCTGCAGCTAGCAAGAAACTATGGAACGGAGGACAATCGGGTGCACACCAGCTCTGTCTGTCTGTCTGTCTGTCTCTCTCTCTCTCTCTCTCACACACACACACACACACACACACACTCCTTCCCCTACCCTTTTGGGGCCTCATCGTGGTGGGCAGGAATGGAGTTACAGAACAAGCTAGGTTTCAAAATCCTTTTTCCCTGGGTCACACCGTCACCTTTTGCTTGTGCCAAGGTCCTCCCCAGAATGACTGTGCAAAGGAACTAAAATTTATTTTTACACAGCCGTAAAACCCTGACATTCCGTGTTTACAGAGATTGTTTATTCAGAAAATTAATCAGTTACGGTTTTAAATTTTAATTAAAGAATGTTTTCCGGTGTTATTGCAAAACAGACAAAAGCCCATAAAACGTATATTTGACTGCTGTTGTGTGTTGTTTTTGGATCAAGACACAGTCTTGAGATCAATCATGCATCATATTTTTGTGAACTTTCCTTTTAACAGAACAACCTTCACATAAATTAAGTTCATTAAAAAATATCCATCAAAATAAAAGTCGTTCTGAGAAACCGCTGTCTGGCATTTCCTTTCCTTTGCTTTCTTTCTTGGTATTTTTTGTGATCAGCAGCAAACTACTTTGTACTTGTTCTGTAAATAAAAGTGGGGTGGGAGTAAAACAGACGTTAGTTGTGCAATTGACTTGTGTTTGCCAATGAACCAGAAGCAACTTCGTGGGAAGTTACACATTTTACTCACATTTTGGTCAAGAGAGAATTATTGGTTCAATGAACATTGGCATGGTGGAAACATTTTTGTTCCAGATGGTGATGCATACTGGGCAGATTTTTAAAAATTTATCTTGATTTTTCTGTTTCTATTTTTTTCTTTACCATTTTTTCTAATTATAAAGGGAATACATGATCCTGATACAAGGATGGAGAAAAGATGTACATAATTGAAGAGTTTTTAATACTGTGTTAATAAATACTGTTAAAATGCTTCTCTATTTTTGTCAACATATCTACTAAAATCATTTATATATTTATTAGCACAGAGCCCTTAAAAATGCCAAATGACACATGACATGTGCATAATTCGTGTCTACCAAGGGCTCCAAATCCAGTGCTAAAACTGTTGAAAATAGTTATTATGAAAATTGTCTTGAATTAAGAGAATATATACTAGCAAATACAAGTTGTAGCATATTGACTATAAATAGATTTATTGCCGACTACAAGAAAGCAAAATTAGAATATTATATTTTCAGATATTATGTAATGTTTGATGAATTAAGGTTGTCCACCTAACGCTGTAAATGCACTGGGGCTCTTCCCGGGTCTCCACATCAAGCACAACCTCATTCTGTCTAATCACAGTCTAGGGTCTTACTGGATGAATGCCCTAGTCATGGCAATTGGTTGTTCCCAATTCTGTATTCTTACAATGATGCTACAGTGAACATATTTATGTACTTTGGGTTGCTTTAAATAGGCTATATTGTTTAAGGTTTTTTGCTGAATAAACTGTTAGAATTATAATCCATAAGTTAAAAAGTTAAGAGCATTTTATTTATATTTAATTTCATTTTTCACAAAGCAGTATCACACATACTTTTTTGAGAGAGTTACAGATAGAGAGAGGGAAAGGCATAGAGAGTGAGGTCTTCCATTGCTGGCTCACTCCCCCAGTGGCCACCATAGCTAGGGTTGGGGCATGCTAAAGCCAGAAGCCAAGAGCTTCATCTGGGTTTCCCACACGGGGGCAGAGGCCCAAGCACTTGGGCCATCTTCTGATTTCCCAGGCCACAGCATAGAGCTGGATCATAGGAGGAGCAGCAAGGACTCAAATTGGTACCCAATTGGGATGCCAGTGCCACCAGCGGAGGCCTAGCCCACTATGCCAAAGCGCCAGCCCTAGCACATACTTTTATAATGAAAAAAGAAACCTTAACACCAAAAAGTTCATAAGAAAAAATTTAGTATTTTCCTGACTTACCACTTTTCAAAACCTCGTTCCTCGTCCCAGAAGTATCCGCCATGTTGTGTAATTCTTTCCTCCAGTATTCAGCAGCATGTTTTAACTTTTTAATAATATTTTTAATTTAACGATTTGAAGGGCAGAAAGACAGAGACAGGCAGAGACATATCCTGTCTGCTGGCTTACTCCTCAAATGCCCAAAACACTGAGGCTGTGCCAGGTCAAAACCAGGATCCAGGAACCCAATCTAGGTCTCCTGTATGGATGACAAGAATCCAACTACTTGAGCCATCACTTCCTGCCTCCAAAATGTGCATTAGCAGGAAAGTGGAACTGTTTTTTAATTTAATTAATTTTATTTTATTTTATTTTTATTTTTTGACAGGCAGAGTGGCAGTGAGAGAGAGAGAGAGAGACAGAGAGAAAGGTCTTCCTTTGCCGTTGGTTCACCCTCCAATGGCTTCCAAGGCCGGCGCGCTGCGGCCAGAGCGCTGCGGCCGGCGCACCGCGCTGATCTGATGGCAGGAGCCAGGTACTTACCCTGGTCTCCCATGGGGTGCAGGGCCCAAGTACTTGGGCCATCCTCCACTGCACTCCCAGGCCACAGCAGAGAGCTGGCCTGGAAGAGGGGCAACCGGGACAGAATCGGGCGCCCCGACCGGGACTAGAACCCGGTGTGCCGTTGCCGCAAGGTGGAGGATTAGCCTATTGAGCTGCGGTGCCAGCCTTTTTTTTTTTTTTTTTTATAAGGATCCAAATAAGGTTAATATATTAAGTCTTGCTAATATTCATTGTCCATTTTTCTTTCTGCGTCTTTGTATTTCTATGAAACTTAAAGAAAAATCATTCATGTGTTTCCCAGAAATCTGTATTTTTCTGATTGAATATTTTAGGGAAGTTCACCATGCTTTTTTTGTTGTTATTGTTTGTATTTCCCATATCTTGGTGGTTAAATCTATAGTTTTGATCCGATTCATATGGCTTTCTTATTCTCTCTCCATCTACCTCCCACTTCCTTTTTTTCCTTCCTTTTATTATTTGTTAATTTTTTCTTTCTTTCAGAATGATTTTCTTTTTTTATTTTTTAAGATTTATTTATTTATTTGAAAGGCAGAGTTACAAAGAGGCACATCTTCTACTCCTTTCCCAGGCCATAATCAGAGAGCTGGATCTGAAGTGGAATAGCTGGGACACTAACCATCGCACATATGGGATGCTGACACTGGAGGTGGTGGCTTTACCTGCAATGCCACAGCACCCAGCCCCATCAAAATGATTTGTATATTCTTCTGTAGTGTTCACAATTACAAATATTTAATTCCTAGACCATAAAATCCTTATGAATTGCAAAATGGAGATACTAATTTTTCATGTATTGAATACCACCATAAATAAACATCTCCTTTAATTGAATAATGAGTTGTTTGGTGGTATAGGTTTTGCAGGAAAGTAACTCAGGCTAAGTGGTTGATTCCTTTGCTTTGCTAACGAGGTTTCAGATAAAGAGATGGTCTCTGCATTCTGCCAAGGTGACTTCATGCTGGTTGATAATTTTCATATTCTTAATGATTGCTGTATTTCTGCATCTTTTTAAAAAGAAAGTGTTATTTAGGCTCATGAGTCACTGTGACGTGACCCTCACAGTGTTCAGTATTTCCTGCTTATCTGGCATGACAAAATGCTCTAGAGTCATCTTGCATAGTTCCTGTCCCCGTCATGGGATCAGACATTTCTCCAGGGAGAGCTGGGTCCTTTCAGTACACTTAGAATTATCCGGGAGTGCTCATTGTTACTGGGCTGATCATTGTCTCGAGGCCTTTCCAGCATGAAACTAAGAATATGGTTAAGTATTAAAGTAGAATACAGTGTGATTTCATATTAATGCTTCCTACTCAAATTCAAGGTTATACCGCTTTTAGTTAATCTTTTAAAGTTCCTTCTTTTCCACACTGAGTATTCTGATTCTCAGTATCACAAACCATGACAGTTTTAGAATACACTTGCTTACTTTTCTTATTCTGTGTTACCGCCAGCCCTGTTTCAGGACAGCAATACCAATATGATCACCAAAAATCTGAGTAGAAACAGCAACATCTTTCTCACTGCAATTCTTTTTGTCCATAAGGTATTTCCCATTGTTATATTCAAATTTGTTTTATTTTAATAAAATATGTTCTTTCTGGAAGATTAATTAATCCAGGAATTTCTTTTAATTTCTTTTAAGAAAAGTTTCATAGCCATTACTTTAAGAATTATTCTTCTAAAACTTTTAGGCATAACCAAAATCCTATTAAATTTTTTCAACAGATTCCCTGTTTATCAGAGGAAAGATTAGAAGCATCATAAGTGTCCCAAAATACAAAAGTTGGTAACTATGAAATTATAGTAACTGGCCGGCGCTGTGGCTCAATAGGCTAATCCTCTGCCTGCGGTGCCGGCACACAGGGTTCTAGTCCCGGTAGGGGTGCCTGATTCTGTCCCGGTTGCTCCTCTTCCAGTCCAGCTCTCTGCTGTGGACAGGGAGTGCAGTGGAGGATGGCCCAAGTCCTTGAGCCCTGCACCAACA